CCTTAGATTGACGATCGAACGAATTCTCATTGAATGATAATTGAAATTTAATAGTGGGATATTCCGTTGACTATGAAGCCCAACTGGTATTGTCCATTTTTAACACGCTCAAAAAAGTTCGTACTGGTATCAACTATGAAATGTCCGAACAAACATTCATTCTCGTCTTCAAAGGAAAACGTCAACTGACTCCAACCTCCCTCATCTTGGAGGATAGAACATCCATGCTTGATTGATGTTAGGGGAGGTGCATGTCCAGATTTGTAACTGCAGGTATCAATGAGAAGAAATGCCTATGAAAGAACCATGCATACGCACCCTGCCGGGCCATCTACCATCCGTCAAGTCAACACACCTAGTGGAGATGAAGTAAGCAGCTCATCTCTTACGAAAGGTACATGTGAGAAACATACTTGTTATGCGAGCCCCATTTAATCCCGTCCGAATCCACATGCCAAATCTGATTGGGGTTCCCATCATAGCACGTCCAGATTTGCAGTTTGTTTCCGTCCCAGTCACCCCCATCGGGGACGTCCAAGCACTTGTTACCAAACACCTTGATTTGAGTGTTGGGACCGACACCTCCCGTCTCGGGAGCACCACCATTCACCACGATCCAAGTGGCATTCTCCGAGTGGAAGTTGCCGCAATCGGAAGCCACGACGGGGGCGCCGTCGTAATTTCCTTGCGCTTCGATGCAGGGCGCGAAGCGGGCTATAAATCATGGTCAGGATTGTAGTCCTAAGGATGATTTAATGGCACAATACTCACGGTTGACAATGCTAGACTGAATTAAGGTAGGTGTGTTTACACTATTGACGGTGAGTGAAGTCACGGCCTAGAGGAGTTTCGATCTTACGGAGCACGGAGGATACTACCGGTAATTGTTAGAGTCAGATACCCGGAGATGATGGAGTACTTACGGATCCGACTGTGCTGTCACGGATACAGTGATAGCCAAAAGAGAAAGGATTGCGAATTTCATGGTTCCTGAGAGTCGAAGACTAAAGGTGAGGAGATGGTGATCCTATTACCTCCGAATCATCGTTTATATAGATAACAAGCCTGTCGGTCATCGGTCATGGTCTGAAGTTGAGGCTCCTGCCGTGCGAGAGGAGAGAGGGGAGCAATCTAGCTTGCACTGCCTGACGTTGTCATCTTTTCGGCATGGGCACGGTCAGAAGACGCAGGAGTTTATTGATCCGTCCCTCATTTTAACTATTATCATTGGTTCTTAATAGCATAATCTGCTTCGCTGTAGGCCCCTCCACAAGGGATGGGCCTGGTTGGATGCCGTCACCTGTTTGAGATGATGAGATGGGGACGGCCAAGTAAATAGAGACTTGCTTGGAGTGCCTTGATGCTCATTTCGGCTACACAAAAATAGATTCGTACTTGTTATGTCACCAGAAGTTCGGGGTAGCTCTGCGCATTTAGGTGCAGGGCTCGGAGCTCAGCGAATGACCAGAGGTTTCTTGATGATAACGGGGAAACCAAACTTCTAGTCACAAAACGGCTTTGAGGAGAGTTATTAACATTTGAACGGGGCGAGTCGAGCTAGGTCGTAGAATGGAGCTTGCAAAGGCGACTGTGGGGAAGAGACGAGTATGAACATTGATATATGGTAAGTAAACTTTTCGTGCTTACAAAGGAATATCATTGAAATGCCCATTGAGCAGTAATCACTTTAACCTTCGTAACCCACTTAAGACAACTGTTGTGATCTGTTTCTCTGATGCTGCATCCACAACTGAAAGAAATGAATGGATTAGTTCCCAGCGAATTCGTTTCGAATTTGAGTTTTTGGCATATTCTGGATATTCTCAATTTTGTGAAAGTAGGTGGTCAAGAGGGTTGAACGCGTGACCGTCGGAGTTTGAAACGACCTTGAACCGCGTCAACATGACCACATATGACGAGCGGGTAGAATCTTTTCGACCTAGAAAGGGGAAATCCAGCAAGAAATCTTCTTTGAACGCGTTCTTGGTCAAGGGATGGCCCCATCCTTCCAACTACAAGGCGACTCCGAGTTCTCTTGCGCATGCTGGATTCTTTTTCGACCCGACATCGGACAAGGGTGATAATGTGACTTGTTTCATGTGTGATCACTCTTTGGGCGAGTGGACTCAGGACGACGACCCTTTTGTGGAGCACCTGAACGTGAACAATAAGTGCGCTTGGGCACTTGCTCGGTGTAGTATCGAGCTGGATAAACAAGCGGATGGAAGGTACATCGAGTGATTAATTACGAGAGTAATTCCAGTTTGCTGATCCTTTTTCTCTTATTAGCTTTATTTTTACCGTGGCAGCCCGACTACCGACTGCAAAGGGCATGGAGAAGGCAAGGGCAGACACATTCAAAGGACACTGGATCCACGATAAAGTCAAAGGTCATACAGCGAACTCGAAGAAGGTCGGTATTTCAGCCTTCAATCACCTCTACGGATAGCTAAAGCACCCGATGTAGATGGCCAAAGCTGGTTGGATATTCAACCCTGGACTAACTGAAGGCTCTGATATTGCCACTTGCTTTTATTGCGGTAAAACATTGGACGACTGGGCTTCGGACGACGACCCAATGTACGTAGGAATGCAGACGCTCTATTCTGATTCTGGCTCACTTTATTCCCTAGGCACGAACATCGAATAAGAGTGCCAAATTGTCCTGTATTTACAGCGACATTGACAGAACTACAACCTACCCCAGCAGAGCCTAGTATCGTCGAGATGGCGCCTCCAGTTTCCACCGCATCTACTTCGCGTACAAAGAGTCACGCCAAAACCTCCTCTAATGTGGTAATGGCACCAGAGGTAGTCGAAGTAGCGACAGAGAGCGATGCTCCTGCTCCAAAGAAACGAGGCCGGCCGAAGAAGACCACTACCACTGCGTCGACTCGTGCAGAGTCCCCTCCTCCGGAACCGGTTGTTCGGCAACCAGCGGCTACTTCCTCTAAGCCCTCTGCTCCAAGCGGAAGCAAGGCTGCTGCCAAAAGAGTCCCTTCAGTATCCGCTAGTGCTCGAGAAGACGACGACATTATAGAGCAGCCTATTGCACAAGAAGATATGTCAATGAAGTCCACTGGTAGTAAAGGCAAGAAAGGAAAGGCTACCAAGAAGAAAGAGATCGTAACTATGGACAGCGACTTCGACCTTGTATTGCCTCCACCCAAGACAGCCCAGTCCGTCCATGAAGAGCAGAGCGTTGCTGCTAGTGCTCCAGAAGAGAGCGAGGATATGGCCGCTAAGGTCCCCAGCAAGAAAAAGGGTGCAAAGAAGAAGGCGGTGAAAAAGTCGAAAACCGCTCCTTCTGTAGTAGCGTCGGAAGATCTAGCAACGGACGATGGTATGGACGTTGACATTCGGACCATCCCCGACGCGGATATCACACCTATCCAAAGTAATCGAGTGACCATGGACTCGCTCGGAGGTTGGTCCAGTTTCCAGGCTGCAAATAAGGAGTTAGAAGACTATGCTAGGGCATTGCATATCGAAGGGGAGTTTGCAGCTATTGGCAAGAAGCCGCAAAAGACTCAGATCGAGGAGGCCACTATGAAGGGTAAATCAAAGGCTGGTCCTTTGCCGACGGTGGCATCCACAACGTCCAAGTCCCTGAAAGGGAAGGCAGCCCAAGAGAACCAATGGGGATGGCGAGAGCGTGAAAAAAGTGTTGGGTCAAGAAGTGCGCCCACGGAAGCAGAGATGACTGAGGAGGAAGAGGTCGAGAAATCTCTTGCTGGGGATGAAGATGACATGCATCTAGACGAAGACGACGATAATGAATTGAGAGAGCCTTCTCTTCCACCTAGTCGAGCGACCTCGATTGCTCTATCTGCTACAGCAAGTACTACTGTATCGTCCAAGACAAAAGCAAAAATCAAAGAAGTGAAGAAGGTCAAGACTTCAAAGGAGCAACTTATTGTCGATCCCCGAATGGCGAATTTGAGGCACGTAGAGACGGATGAACAAGCTACACCCAAAGCGAAGCGTCCGATGCAACACGCCCCACCCATTTCCTCGTCTTTACGTACGGAAGATCACCCCAGCCATCATGCCCCTCCCTCTGCAGCCTCTGACGGAAATCCATTCCTCTTGAGCGCAGCTACCGGTGAGGCGGGTATAGGCGGCGCGTCCTTTTTAACAGCATTGGAAGAACCAATGCTTCTTACTGATGCAAATTCGCATATGCTCACAGAAGAGGAGCGTGAAATGACGCTCGAAGAGTGGATTGCATATGACGTGGAGAGAAGGAAGGAGGTGATTAGAAAAGAAGGTCGTCGATGGATTGACACCTTTTTGGAGAATGCTGAAGCTTACAGAGAGAAAATACGTGCCATGTAATTTGTATATATTACTTTGGATGCTTTCGATTTCAACTTTGACTTATAACGTACAATATATCCCCTTGCACTGTAATTCAGTCTACTCGGCCTTTTATAAGCTGTTGGATTATGCGTTGGTTTCGGAATGCAATGTATGGAACTGTGTTCGGTGTCACTTGGAGCTGTACCTTTTTGAAAGTTTCACTCACTTCCTATTTGACAATTGAAAAATTGCGTCTCTTAACGCCACAGAAATGGAACACTATTTAATGTCAATCAAAAGGGAAACGGGGTCGTAATTAGCCGAAAGGCAGACTCACCATGGAAGCAATTCGATGTTGACGCGTGTGTTGCATGCGGTCCTGGGCTATCCCAAAGAGCCATAAAGAACATCAGAATCACCTCGTGAGGGCCGTTGGGTTCTGCTTTTCACTCGGCTCTTTGCGGGCTTCGCCTCGTGCGGAGACTGCTGGAAAACCAATGTAAGTTCTAGGCCTACAACATGAACCAATCCTCACCAATGTAAGATAGAATGACTCGAAACCAAAACAATTTGTCACTATCACGCGAGTTGCTTGATGGTCACCAGCTCAACCGCCACGCCAATCGTCTGACCTCTTGGAAAACTGATGGGAGGTTAGGGGTCAACATTTGAACATAAGATAAAATTCAAACTGAAGAGGAACCTGGAAATTTCCCCTGCATTTGTAGTCAAGAGAAAACTGTCCCTGATCTCTTCTAATCATTCGTTGCAATCCCCCAGACTCATCAAGTCATAATTGTACGCGTGTTCCCAAACAATTCTGTTTGTACAATCCTATTTGCATGACATGGACATCTTCATTGGCTCGAAATCAAGCAGAAGGCGTTGGCGAGAGTCTCCACTCTCTAGATGTCAGTGCGACATTGCGAATCCAATGCGCCAGCCAGCCATCTGGCAGATGCTGCATCAACACGCCACTGACAGTCATCTCGACGTCGGGAACTTGTAATAAAGTTGCTTCGTCACTTTCGGGGCAGAAGGCGGTCGAGCTTCTTGAGGGGCTGTTGAGGGTCACCGCGGAGGGGCACAAGTTGCGTTGTAAACCAAACAACGACATCCATCCTTTCCTCCTCCCATCCCCTCACCCGTAACCAGCTTCTACCAGCAGCTGTAGACTCGCTTCGACCCCTTCATCTGGGTGTCGTAGACGTTGGGTGGCTTACTACACCGTGGCAGCACTCAGCCTAGCTGAGGCGCCTTTTCCTTCCTTTACACTTCACCCCTCATCCAATTCGCATTGCACATTGCAAGCGTTTAGGAAAATGGAGAACTCGAAGCATGGTTCCTTGCCGCTACTCGACAAAGTGCTGGGCCTAGATGTCGACAACGCGGTCATTGGTATGCATGTTTACTTCCGCTTATTCACTAGAATGTATTTAGCTGATATCATTGATATCTTCTGCATCGACAGACTACATGATTGGCTCCGTGCGCTCTGCAGTCAGGCTTCACTCGGATGTTGCTCCGAGTCACGAAGTGGGCTGCTCTGTTGGCCAAATCTCCACCGAATCTACTATGGTACAGACATCTATTCGAACCCAGAACAATCGAGAGACGAGCTCGCGAAGGAGCAAAGCCTCCGGTTCAAGAAAAAAGTCTCTGGCCTTAGTCAACCAAGAGCTTTCGTCTTTGACGGATTTTATCGCGAACATTTCGGTACGATCGAGATGCACCATGTCAACGATGGTAGTCGCTCTGATATATCTCGAAAGACTGGAAAGAGTTATCCGAACGCGCCCACCTGCCGGTAAGTTGATATCTCGGATCTATACACCTCTCAATCTTGGACTTACAACTTTAACTTGTAGCTAAAAAATGTTCTCGTCATCGAGTCATCTTTTCCTGTATTATGCTCTCTCATAAAATCTGGAACGACTCGTCCATGGTTGGCAAACATTGGGCAGAAGTGTCGACCATGTTCACCTCCCAGGAGGTCCTGGCGATGGAGCGCGAAGTGCTCCTTCTGCTTAGATATGATCTCGAAGTGACAACTGAAGAAATCTGGAAGACCGCGAGACCGTTTATGGGTGCACCTTGGTTGGCATTGAGCAAGAGCGAGAAGGAGCGCGTGCGCAAATGTGAAAGTCGGCTCGCAGGTGAAGCAACAGGCAACGCTTATGTTGTGGAGAGGCAGGAACAACTGGCGCCTAGTCACGATCC